CACATGTGCTCCCAAGAGTCCCACTGCCCAGGTGACCAGTGTTGGCACCTGACCACCTCTGCCTTGCACATGTTCCAGCTGCCTCTGTAGGATCTAAGCCAATGAAGTGTTGGATTGGTGTCACACATTTAATCTGTATCCTTTGTAGCAGTGTCTATACTGCTAGGCATGAGGCAGATTTTTGTTAAAATCACTATTTAATAGAAAAAGGGCAATTTTTGTTTCAAGAGATACTATTAAAATCATCTTTAATATATTTATTGACTATTCTATACACTGACCATAATGTAAACAGTCCTTGATCTCTAAGAATAAGCAGATGGTTAGCAATATATTCATTAGATATGTGCTTCTGACAACCACAGGAAACTGTTACTCTTAATAATAGCTAAAAAAATAACTATCATCAATTTCTCTCTAATAGAATAAAGAACCTATTTGCTTTACTTATAACACCCAAACATTTACAATGTAAAAATACATCTACTCCTAGGGGCCTTACCACAGCTGTTTCTTTGAAATATTTTTTGGGAAAAGATGAATGTTCAGAGGGCTTATGATTCATTAAAGTTGTTGACTAACTCAAACACTTAACTGTCAACCTCTTCTTTCAGAGAATGTTCCATTCACCTACCTTGGCACCACTGTGTCAACACATATGTGCATCATGTGGAAGAAATCCATGTGTGTCCTGAGAGACGAGTATGTGTGTCCTAAGAACCATGTGTGTGTGTCCTGAGAGCCATGTACATGTCATGAGAGCTGAGTGCCTGTGTCCCCACAGCCATGTGCATTTTCCTGACAGCCATGGACATGTGTCCTGAGAACTATGTACGTATGTACCAACAGCCACGTGCATGTGTCCTGACAACCATGGGCATGTGTCCCAACAGCTGTGTGTATGTGTCCTGAAAGCCGTGTGCATGTGTCCCAAGAGCTAGCATACTATGCACACTATTTACACAGAACTTTGATCTACATTCAAAGGGTTCTTGTTTGTGTGACCCTAAGAAACAAATACTCTTTCTTCCATGAGGTGACCAGACTGGGCTCTAAGTACAGAACGAGTGTGTTGTGCGGTTCTTTGTTCCTTTGAAGCAAATTCCACAAATGTTGATTCACTAATTTACTCTAATGAAAAAGCCGTAGGCAGTCACAAGTCTGAGTAAGCGTGAATGTTACAAAGGTCCCTCTAGACTTACAATGCATTTTTCAATGTTCTGTCTGGAATAGGAATATAAATAGAGCACGCAAGATACTTCTGTTAGGCTACCTTTAAGATCAAACATTTTTGATACTTTAAAATAAAGGTTTTATAATTAAAATGATTCTAATGATTCCAAAAAGTGTGTTCCAGCCAAGGTGGAGTAAGATGAATTGAAAGTACCTTTCCATTTGAAGCAAAGGAAATGCTCAGAAAAAACCCTCAAAACATGAAAACATGGTTTTCAAGACACTAAATATCAATGAAGGACAGTGATACTACAAAAAAAATACAGGAGGAAAGCTTTGTAACACTGGCTTACTAGAAGATTCCTTAGATACAGAGCTGAAAACATGACCCATAAAGGAAAACAATAATCAGTGGGATTTCATTAAAATAAAAAACATCCGCTCTTCTAAAGACAGTGTTAAAAGAATGACAAGACCAGCCATGGACTGGGAGAAAATACTTACAAATCATATATCTGATAAAGGATTTGTATCTGAAATATATGAAGAACTCTTAAAACTCAACAATCAGAAAACAACCCAATTAGAAAAAAAATGAGCAAAAACGTTAAACAGACACTTCACCGAAGAAGACATAAAGGTAGTAAATGAGCACATGAAGAGATGTTCAACATCATTAATTATGAGGGGAATGCAAATTAAAGCCACAATGAGATGCCACCACACAGCTCTTAGAATGGCTAAAACTAAAAAGATCAACCACGTCAAGTGTTAGCAAGGACTTGGAGTAATGTGAGCTCTCGTACACTTCTTATGGGAGTGTAAAATTGTACAAGCACTTTGGAAAACAGTTTGGCAATTTCTTAAAAAATGAAAATATACCTACCATACTACCCAGGCATTC